AAAAAAAAAAAAAGATGTGATGTGATGGTTAGTTAAAATTATGTGAGTAGATGAATATTGAATTAATTTTGATGTTATGTGTAATAATGATTAATTGATATCATTTAATTATATTGATAATAGTGGAGTTGAGTTAAAGTTGAGTTAAAAAAAAATGGTTGAGTTAAGCTATTTGTAAAAGAAAAATCTCAAACCAAATTAATTTATACTCAAACTTTAACTCAACTTTAACTCAACATCATTATCATATATTATCAGTATAATTAAATAATAACAATTAATTATTAAATAATAAAAATGAATTATATTTACACATCATATCAACTTAAATTTACTAATCCTCCACACACATAATTTTAAGTAATCATCACTTCATATTATTTCTCTCATACTTTTAGTCAAACAAATTTTAATTATTTTATTTTAGATATTATTTTAATATAAACTCAAAATCTTACTAACAACTAATTATACTACTTTTTTCTAAATTAATCTTAATTAACTAAAAGAACTCACTCTGAGTTAATTCCCTCAAGTTAATTCTTTTACAAACACCTTATACATATGTCAAGAAGCAAAAGAGTAACCAATTCAATGGATCCTACAATCGAAAGTTGATAGGGCAAAAATTTGAATGATGCGTCGTCGGCACGAAGGCCGTGCAATCCGTCGAGTTATCATGAATCATCGCAGAAACGAGACGAGCCCGTGTTGACCTTTTATCTAATAAATATGTTGGAGTATCACTTGTGAGTTGTCCCACATTGATTCTATAGGGAAAATGAGCCTAGTATAAGCGCCAAGTGAGCTACTCCTCCCATCACCAATTGGTTTTGGGATGGAACCTCACTATGGTGCACCTGGGCTCACTCTCTTATGGTGCGCTTAATCTGCGTGAGACTGCACCCTCTTGCCCCGATTCTCTAATCTTACATGGTATCAGAGCCAGGCCGACTCCTGCCTAGGTTTCTATCTCTACCCGACCAACTCCGGCCAGGGTCTCTATCTCTACCCGGCCTGCTCTGGGCTTGGGCTTATGAAGAACTCACAAGTGAGGGAGCGTGTTGAAGTATCACTTGGGAGTTGTCCCACATTGATTCTATAGGGAAAACGAGCCTAGTATATAAACCAAATGAGTTACTCCTCCCATCACCAATTAATTTTGGGATGGAACCTCACTATGATGCACCTAAGCTCACTCTCTTATGGTACGCTTAATATGCGTGGGACCGCACCCTCTTGCCTCGATTCTCTAATCTTACAAAATACCTTATGAGTAACGTAGAGAGTACTTTTAAGATTAAAGAAAGTGGACTTGGGCCTAAGAGAAATTGTTTTCCACCATCAACTAAAGAATCTCACTTCGGCCATAAATATAACAGTTGTTGTTAGGCGGCCAAACATTTAACCTAATTAATCTTTCATTTTTTTTATTTTAAATGCTTATATTATATTATACATTAAAATGTCATACTTTATGCATTAATTTTTTTTTTCAATTCATTTTATAGTAATACTTTTTTTTTTCAAAAGCTCGAGTTTATCTCATAAGTCATAGCTTTTCAAATAAGTTCGTTGAAAATTGTATTTCAACTAGCTTATCGGCTAATTAATCTTACCAAACTTTTTTAATAACCTCATTGAAATTTTTATTTCAGTTACCTTATCAGCTATTTTTTTACGAAAAAACACTTTTATCATATATGTTATATTTGTTAATATTATCTGATAAGCTATCTTATAACTTATAAGTGGTTTTAAGCTTACAGTTGAAAAGTTAGTTTAAATGATATAAGTGTTTGGTAATATTAGCTGATAAACTAGTTAAAATAAAATTTTCAACAAGTTTATTTGAAAAACTACCCAAATAAGCTTATCAGATAAACCCGAGCTTTTTAAAAAAAACTGGTCATACCAAATGAAACTTGCTTAAATACAAGAACCTTATCAGTTAACTAAATAAATTATAAGCTAGCTTATTTGGTTATCAATCATAGCATAAACTAGCATTTCAGTTATAAGTCATAAGCTATAAGCTAAAAGTTCAAAAATCATTCATAAACTGTAAATTAGTTTTATCAAACATAGTCTGCTTGTGTTTGACGGCTTATTGTTTATAATGTAATTTGTAAAATCCCTCACTATATATTAATTCAAAACGCGTTGAGCCTAGGTGACAGATTCTCACGCTTCGGATTAATACTAGTAACATTTAAATGTAAAAATAAATAAAAAAATAAATGAAAAAATGTTACTCTCTGAACAGTCAATAATCAATCAAGAATTTTATATATAACCTCTACCCATCCCTATTGATTAGAGCTCACAAATAGTTAAGCCCAATCCAATCAAATCAAAACAATTTTTACGAGAAAAAAGAAAAAAAAAAAATCATTACATCCCCTCATAGATAGGTTCCAAAGCAGGCTTCCACTGTCTAACTCTACACTGATTCAGATTCCCAACAAAATCACCACCACAATCGCCGGAAACCTCCGGCACCACCTTCGAATCACGTCGTCTCCGCCCCTTTTTACCGCAAACCGACTCGATTTCTCCCATTTCGGACTCGGAAAGCTTCCCGTTGGCTCTACAAACGGGGACCAGCACGTAAACCCTACCTCCGTCCAAACTCTCGTCGGCCTTCATAGCCGACAATCGGAAGCCGTCAAGCGGCGAGATGACGTGGCCGGGATCCTCGAGCATCAGCTCGGCGGCGGCGGTGGGGACGGCGACTCGTCGGACGGTTTTCCGGCGGAGATCGACGAGCTTCGCCGTGTCGGGTTGCGGCGGGTGGATGCAAGAGGACATGTTCCCCATTTTTTCTTTTAGGGATTTGGGTTTTTTTTTTCTTTTTTTTTTTAAAAAAAAAGGATTGTTTGGTTGAGGATGAATGAGAAGTGAATTTTAGTTTGATTTGAGGTCTGTATTTTGTTGTGTGTGTGTGTGTGTGGAGGGGGGTGTGTTTTTATAGTTTAGGTTGGATGGTTTGACTGAGAAAGCGTGTTTGGTTTTTGAGTGTGTTGTGAGAGTGACTGGTCAGTCACTACTCTGAATCTATCTCTTTGCTGACTCGTCAACACACTCTAAGTGCGTGGACCAATTATTTGCTGCCACGAGTTATTCTATTTTTTCCTTCGTTTTTTTTATTAACTAGTGTTGATACCCGTGCGATGCACGGAGTATACTATATATTATATTTTATTATTGAAATATTGTTAATTATTTAAGACAAAATGGTAATTACATCCAAATCAATATATCAAGTCGCTAATAATATAGATTTTGTTCGAATATCTTTTTTAATTTATTTTTACAGGTTTTGACTATTTAATATATAAATCTAACTATTTATAAGTTTATAAAATAGTATCAATATTTAGATTTTAAATATGATGTCATACAAATTGCTTAGATATACTTGTAAAATTACAAATTATCTTGATCTTGTAACTTTTTCAATAATTCATAATTTGCATAATGCTCGGTAGCTAACTAATGTTTTAACCCCTAAAATTTATTTTCCTTTATTATAATTTTAGATGAATGAAATATTAATTGTTTGATAATCAAATTTAATTTGTAGTAACTTTAATCGCTTATGCAACAAATTTTTTCATAGTAAACTATATATTTTTATTTTTAAATTTTTCGTCTAATTATATATTTAATAAATTTATTCAACATAATAATGAGTGTATTAATATCTATTTAAAATGTTTAGATGAATTATATATTTCAATTACTATCAAATGCTATAATTTGAATTATGACATTTGACTATATTATCCCATTTACTCCTTTTTCTTTATCAAATAATATATAATAAGAAATATATGTTTTTACAACTTAATTGGTTTTTTTATGTATATAGATATCTCTAATGTAAAATTTAACATTCTTAACTTTACTCGGCTATCAAATAATAATTAATTTTATTAATATATAAGAATTACTTTTCAATAGTATATCTAATAAAATAATATATTCAACAGAGATATACTTTTCAATGGTTATGTTGACTATATATTAGCAAATTTTGGTGTTACTTAAATTATTCATTAAGTTAATATGAATCAAACACAATTATTCTAATTATTTGTTAAACATAATTAGTACAATTAATATCTAAAACAATAAGATGATAATATAATTAATCAAATCAATATTTCATAATTTGAATAGCTTTTTAATTATGTCAAAAAATTACTATGAATTAATATTATGATCTTATTGGAAAATATATGTAATCAATCTATATTCTATTGTCAATTTATAACTAATGAATATTAGTCAATGAATAAACATAAGATAAGTAATGTTCATATATAAATTTGATAATAGATAAAAGCTAATTATATGCTAAATATAGATGAAAATATTTTCCCGCCTAAAACTATGTCATTACTCAATTATAGTAATAAAGATGGTCTAATATATAGATATAGATCTTTTTATTGTTTCCCGCCTTCTAGGAATTAGTGGTCTTTTTTTTTGTGTAAAGAAGGAGGCTACTGCCTAAGGAAGAATCGATCGAAGATATGGCACCCCAACCTTATCATGAAGCAACCACATACCTACCCCGACGGGGGACTTGCCAACGCATGAAATCCACATATAGATTATGTTGTATATATAATTTACGCTAATAAATACCGGAATTATTCCGTCAACAAAACTGTGGTTGTTCTCTAAAATTAATATCATTGGACAGATCAAAAGTGAAATCTATTGCGTCATACCAATTACCAATAAACTAAAGCAAAAACATTGCAATCTTACTATAAATATAATTATAATAATAATAAATAGATGGTAAATAAGTATTGGATTTCTGTTGTGTAGGTTTGGAAACTTAGACCAACTTCAATTTGAAATCTAAGAGACAAATTATATTAATTGGGATTTCATATCTCTAGGACTAGGATATGAAACTATCAAACTTGAGATTTTAGTTTATATTAATTTGGAGTTAGAACAAAAATTATGTGGAGCCATCCGATAGTTTTCTTATGGATTCATCCACTACTTAATGTATCGACGCTTGTCCAAAATGAATTTATTGTAAGACACGTGTCCATATACTATTGGTGAATACGTGCAGATGACTCCATAAGTCAGCCTTCCAATAGCTCCATAGCAAAACTGGGAGTTAGAAAGGCAGTCTAACTATCGGTTATAAAGTTGAAACTTAAAATATATTCACTAAAGAATTTAAAAAAAAAAATTGAAAATTTTAATTTAGCACTTTAATAATTAACACGGTAATGTTCTTCCACCAACACAACAAAAGCATCATGAATATTTTGCTTCGTGTTGTTGTTGTT